TTTCTCTAATCTTTGAAGAAGTTTGAGTAGTATCAGAATTATAGTCTATGAAAATCCGAGAGTTACCTGTGAACATATCTGGGCCTGGTTCATTTTGGAAGGTAATACTTTGATAAGGTTCTTATTTTCTTCTGTTTATATTTGTTTAGATTTTTATCTATTCTGGGATCAGTCTGGGTAATTTACATTTTCATAGCAAATCAACCATTTCATCCAATTATTCACATCCATTGGCTTTGTAATCTCCTATAGATCCTTTCACTTTCATCAGTGTTTGTGATTATTTTCTTTCTGCTTTCTAACTTTATATATTCTGTCTTCCCCAGTTTTTTTTGGGGGGGGGATGGTGGTACTGGGGATTGAACTCAGGGGCACTCACACTGAGCTACATCCTCAGCCCTATTTTGTATTTTATTTAGAGACAGGGTCTCACTGAGTCGATTAGCTCTTTGATTTTTCTGAGGCTGGCTTTGAACTTGTGATCCTCCTGCCTCAGCCTCCTGAGCCATTGGGATTACAGGCATGCGCCACCGCACCTGCTTCTTGCTCAGTTTTTAATGGATTATATTGGTCCGAGTTCTATCAATAGTTCTTTCAAATGACAATGCTTACATTAATCAAACCTATTATTTATGTTTGCTAACTTACAAATTTTCTATTATCTTCATTGCTTCTCTAATTTCAGTTGTGAGGGGAAGGCTCAGATATATAAAAGACACGGGCAGGAGGTAGAGGGCAAATTTAGTAGTAAGTGTTAAGTGTGGAAGGGGCAAGAAGTGGGGAGGAAAGGTAAGGTGATACAAGAGAGTGGCAGAGGGGATATGGACGCTTTCCCGAGGGGCACCCCTGGACATCACTCCCTGAGGCCTCGCGGCCTGCATCCCGCCCAGCCAGGTCATCAGCTCTCGGCTCACCAGTCTCAGGATCTTCAACAATCCAGTAGGCGAGAAGCAAAAATACTTGGCGCTGTCCCTGAATGTCTCTGGGACTTTAGCTCGGCCCTCTGCACGCTTTTGAACGGCTACCATCGCCCTTCTGGACATAGGGGGTTTACCAGGACTCCCTTTTGGGGCTTGTGGTGTCCCAGGGTGTTGTGTAGGTTTGCGGCGATCTTCAGGCGCCCTGCGCGCTTGACCCTGAGCAGGATACGGTCGCTCTGCACGTCCAGACGGAGCAGAGGTTCTGGCTCTTTTAGTGCGCTTGGATGCAGGGTATTTGGACGCAGGGCGCTTGGCCACCTCGGGCTTGGACTCAGGAGGCTTGGATACCGATGCAGAAGGCTGGATTGTAGAAGGCTGGTCTGCAGAGGGTGCTGGATCGGGTGGTTGTGGGGACCCCGGGGCTGCTGCAGGTTCTGCAGGCTCCTCATGTTTGGGGTCCTGGGGATCCATGATGGGCCCTCAGGCTTGGCCTTGTCAGGCTAGCCCTGTGACTTCAGGCCAGCGCTGACCCCACAGCTTTCTCTGGGAGCCAGTGTCGCAACCCAACGGCTGCTGAACACCTACTCCTCGCGTGCACCCGGCTCTTGCCGCGAGCACCACCAAGCTGAGTCTGTCTGCCACCCTTGTTGCCACCTGGATGTGATGCTACTGCCTAGCATGGAAACTTAGAATCTCTACTCTTCAAACCCACCCTTGGGTGCTGCTGGCCAGCCCGGGAGGAACAGCGTTCTGGAGACAATTTGGAGGGGTCCTGATGCTTCTTTCCCTGGCACAGACCCAGGAGCAGGGAAAACCAGATTCCATCCCCGGCTCCAGGCACTCCCACAGAGTTCTAGTAAGGCCGGCTGGGTACAGGGTTGGGAAAACTCTCCCTCCAGCTTCCAGACTGAGTGTTCAAAAAGAACAGCAGATAATATGTGGAATAAAGAAACACGTTTAATACTTATTGCCAACTAACAAGAAACACAAGATTAGAACACTTCTCTGTCATGAGCAGGCTTTTTCTGGTAAGGACCACTTGGATTAAACAAAAGCTTCCGGTAAAGCAGGATACCATCGGCAAGGCAGCACACTGCTGTGATAAGTCCAAACACCTGGAACAAAGACATGGTCTCATTGACTTCTGTCATTCACACCCGTGTTAAGTGGTCTGCCCAAGGAATTCCCCTTTTGATAGGGTGCTGAGATTGCTTCCTGCTGCTGCCCTCGAAATTAAAATTGGAAAAGGCTTTACCAAGTTTTCCTGCCTACAGAAAGGAAAAAGATAATTTAAGTGAACCGAAATACTAGTGAAGTTGTTTGTACTGGAAATTGAACCCAGTGGCACTTTACCACTGAGCTATAACCCTGGGCCTTTTAATTTTTTACTTTGAGACAGATTCTTGCTAAGTTGCCAAGGCTGAACTCAAGTTTGGGATATTCCTGCTTGAGTCTCAGGAGCTGTTGGGATTACAGCCAGGCACTACCATACCCAACTTGTCTTTCTGCCAACTTGCTCCTGCATGTATTCCTTTCAACCCTACAGACCATATTTAGTTATCGATCAACATTTCTATCCCAAGTGTTCAATTATTTGATTTCTCTATTGCTAAACCACTGCAGAAAGTGTCAAAGCTAATACCAGCTCAAGATTAAATCATGGGGACTACAACTGTGATTAAAAAAAAAAAATTGGAAAACTGGAGTGATGATTCAGTGAACTCCCAATGGCTGGGCTACAACTGCTTAAAGGGGTAAGATTCTAAACAGGCTTTAAGAAAATAAAGTTGAGCCAGGAGTAGTGGTGCACACCTATAATCGTAGAGATTTGGGAGGCTGAGGCAGGAGGATTGAAAGTTTGAGACCATCCTCAGCAATTTAGTGAGACTTTTGGCAACTTAGTGACCCTGTTTCAAAATAAAAAAGGAATGGGGATGTAGTTCAGGGGTAAAATGTCCCTGGGGTATTCAGTACCCAAAAAAAAAAAAAAAAGAAAAAGAAAGAAAGAAAGTTGAGGTAAAGGGACCAATAGAACAGGAGGTGGCCTTTAGGTACTCTGATGGCTATTTGAGAGCTAGCACCTGGGATGGAGGAGGGAGATGTTATTGTCTCTATACCACTAGGTCAGCTTTGTCCAGCCACCAGGAAATTTGATTTTCCTGCCCCTGCAGTCTCCTTTTCCACCTAGTCTCAAGCCACTGCCTCCTAGGTCCTGAGCACACTAAGTACCTGCTGCCAATCCTTTTATGACTTTGGCATTTATGCACATTGCTGGTTCTTCCCTCTGGAAACTTTCCCCTTTTCTTCTCCTCATTGTAGGTAAACTGCAATTCCACTGCCAGGGGGAAGCAGTTTTTTCTTCTGTCTATGCCCAGAATTACTGTCAACTGCTTTTATGCGGCTATGTGCATGTCTATCTCCTGGGTAAGGCTTTGAGCAACTTGAGGATAAACAGGGCTCATACTCTAACCCAGTACTGTTCAAAAGGGCTAGTGAGTCGTCAATATAATCCACATAATTAAGATTTTCCAGAGCCACATTAAAAAAGTAAACAAGTAAAATTGACTTTATTGCCATATTTTATTTAGCCCAATAGATCTAAAATGTTATCATCTAACATAGTGTTAATATGATCAAATTATTAATAAAGTATATTTGGGGGGCAGGCTAGTAAATCTTTGAAAGTCAGTGTGTATTTGATATTTACATCTTATCTCAATCCAGACTAGCCACATTTCCAGTACTGAGTAGCTACATTTGGCTAGTGACTATTGTATGGGGTAGCATAGCCCTCTACTGTGTCAGCACTTAAAGGATGAATGAACAAGTTAAGTAGATAGACGAATGAATGTAAGTCCTATGCCTGGGCTGCTTTTCTTCCAATTAGAGAGGGATAATAAGATTGTCTTAAAAAACAATTAGGGGAAATTGCTGTTATGGGGTTGCCTCATTTCTAGCATTTCTGGTCCCTCCAGAAGTTGCTTAGGCCAAAGGGAGGTGAAAACCATGGGTTCTGAAACATATGGCTGTCTAAGAGGGGTCCATTCTTCTAAGTGGTCCATATTGTGAAAAAACAAGGAAGCAGGAGAGAAGAACTTGGTAATTCAATTCTCTGGATTAGAATTTAGAAATCAAATGATTTGGAACCCCAGAAGAATCTCAGATGGAAATATAATTTCTTGACTCTTTTATTTTGGTTGTTTTCTAGGGTAAAGTCAGATTAAATTGATTTATTTTTCTTCAAGTGGTGTTAAAGTTAACCTTTAATTGCAAGCCTTCCTACCACATCCTTTGTCATAAGGATATCTATTATAGTCCACCTGAAAAAGTATCAGAACAGTCTGTCTCACCTTAACAAGTGATATGTATCTTTTTCTTTAAAAAATGTGAGCTACAAAACCTGTTTTTCTTTTTTTAAAATTTATTTATTTATTTACTCTAATTAGGTATATATGACAGCAGAATGCATTTTGACTCGTTGTATACCTCATCATGTTTTTCTTTTGCTTGATATCAGGTTTCTCATGGCTAAGTATTGAAACTGACTCTACCAGCTTTTTTTCAGTCTGATATAGCCTTTATACCAATAAGGTCTGTGTAGGAACCTCATATCTCTTCATGTTAAAAGAATCGGGGCATGTATTCATTCATACAGAATATCAAGCCAGTAGGCACTGTATATTGGCTTATGAACCCAAAGGATATATTACAGTTTTCTGTACTTCTGGTTTGCAAATAACTAGGAAGACCTCTACTTACCCCTCCAAAGATTGTCCATGTTGTGGTTTCTGGTATCAGTGCCAAAACAGATACGATGACCATGAATAATGTTGTTACTATCGAGTTGATAATATCCTAAAAACACAGAGTAGGATACAGACAGCTTTACAAAAGGACCACCAAAGTATAGGAGTGTAGCTCAATATAGAGGCCTTGCTTAGCATGTGCAAGACCTTGTGTGGTGTGACACCCAGCACAACAAAAAAAGAAGAGAGAGAAAGAGAGAGAGAGAGAGAGAGAGAGAGAGAGAGAGAGAGAGAGAGAGAAAATAGTCCATCAAGAAACAACAAAAAGCTCAGCTCTTTAAAGAATTCGAAAATTCCATTTTATTAAATTTTTTAGCATATATCTTTCAGGAAGCCAAAGTGCTACAGTAAAGGACACCTATATAGTATTTGGTCTACAATGACACCTAGTGGTTCTCTTTACCTATAATACATCAAACATTTAACTACTTTAGCATTTATTTCTTTTTGACATAACATAAATGTCACTGGAAGCAGAACTCATCTGGCTAGGAGAGTATGAGATGTATTATATGTTTTAGGGTAGAATGGGTAGATACTCTGGGAAGTTGTAATGCTCATTTTTAATAATGTAAGAAGATATGTGGAGTAGTCTACATTGTATATCAAACAACTCTGTTATAAAATGAAACTAATAAAACTAAAGACAGCAAATAAGTACTTAAGAGAAAGTTGTAATTTTCAAGATGAATCCCATATACATCTGTATACAATGGCTGGCCAACGATATTGCCTTATATAGCTCACTCATTTAATAAATTCTCCACACAAAGCACTTTTCACTCTTAACTTTGTTTTAAGAAGTGCAATTTAGCCGGCATGGTGGCACCTGACCAATCCTAAGTGATTCATAGGCCTGAGGCACAAGGATTTCAAGTTCAAGGTCAGTCTTGTCAATTTAGCAAGACCCTGTCTCAAAAACAAAACAAAACAAAAATTAAAAGGGCTCGGGATGTAGCTCAGTAGTAGAGGGCTCCTGGATTCAATCCCCAAATACGGGAAAAACAAAATGTGCCATTTACAATTTTGAATGGATATATAGTGTGGGTAACATGGGTAAGTACTTTGTCTTTATTCTTTATTCTGGTTTATGTATGTTTGCAGATAAGCAGGCAGGAGGGAATCAAGACAGGAATACTAAATGTCAAAACTAATAACTTAGGAAAGTAGTTATTCAAAAGAAAGCTGGAAGAGGTTTGATGAGGGTGGGGTAGGATAAGATTAGATACTCAGGAAGAAAGTTCTTATTTGCAGGAAATATTGAAACTGGCTATCCTAGGTTAACTTTCTTGTGTGCTGAATATTTTGCTTTGATTCAAGGTAAAAGGCCACATTACTACTTCAGCCTGGTAGCCCTTCCTCCTGTGGGCAATTTGGTCTCTATATAAAAGGCTTTTGGATAAAAGTGATTTTCTATGGAGTGCAGAGAACCACAGGAAAAAAGTGGTGTACCGCCCCAGGACATCAATGATCCTTAATGGAAATTAAAATCATTTTCATATTAAAAACAAAACATCAATATGTAGAAAGATTTCACAGAAATTTTGAGCCTCCAAGGCCTGGGTTGGCTGAGTTGGTGTGCTTTCTATAATGGGACACTTGAGGGAAACAGAGGAGGCCTGCTCTACAGATTGTGTCAGGGACTACAACTGTGCAACAATAAGAAATCCAAGTGCAGATGACAACCCTTCTAATCACTAAAGGCACAAGTACTTAAAAGTTGCCTTTCCCCCGCCCACAGGTTACCTGGAATCTTTCACCAGAGAGTCCTTCAGTTGAGTGGCAGTTAAAGGACCCCTGGCAAATTCTCCAGCTGTGTTCTGCCTCTCATCCCACTCTGCAGGGACTTCATTCTGTTACCAACCTTTCAATGTCCCTGGCCAAACTGCCTCCACTCATTGGTGGCCTCTGTGGTCCAACTGTTTCTTTCCTTCCCTGCTCTGTCCCTAACTTGTGGCAAACTGCTCTGGAAAAGGCCTTTAGGGGGCTCTTTATTAATACAGCCAGTGAATGAATAGGAATATATGTATATTTCAGCACCTACCTTTCTTTCTTTCTATGTGACCTTTCTGCTTGAAATGCTTTTCTATCTTGGCTTCTGTGACACTGCCTTTCCCTGGCCACTCCTCACCACCTAGTTTTACCTTCAGCTCCCTCCACACTCTCTCTAGGCCCGTCTGGCCAGGCCAAGCTCAGTTACCATCAGCAGTTGATGACTTCCAGCTACAGCTTCTCCCTCTAAGCTTCAGACCTGTAGTGAACATTGACATTTAAGTTTCCCATAAACAACTTAAACAACATTTCTGTACCCAAACTCGTTGCATACAGCTCTCTCCACCCTTCCTTAAGCCCGTTCAGGTAGATATTTAAACAACAGGTATTCTACCTCGTTCCCGTGTCCTATCAATCCTACCTCATTAACCCATCTCTCCTTTCTAGGTACAGCTGTAACTTTAGTTCATGCCTTTATCATTTTCATGCCTAGATTATGATGTCAGACTTTTAAATGGTCTTTGAGAACCTCTAGTTTTTTTTTTTTTCTCTTCAAGCCATTATAGACACTGGTGGCAGTGTCTATGATGGTAACCTGTAAACTTGTCATATTCCTCTTTTTAAAAATCTTGAAAAGCTCCCATCAGCCTTTTGGTTAAAGCCCAGGGCACAGAAGCCCTTGCATGCTCTGACTCCCTACTGCCTCAAGCCTCCCCCTCTGCCCACTTTCTTGATCACAGCTTGATACTCCAGCCATTCAGAGCTGCCTGCAGGTCCTGGAGGGTCATGCTCTTTTCCACCCAGACCCTTGAATATGTTACTGCTTCTGAGGAAGCCCCTTTCTCTTCCAGCACTCTGCTGCTAACCACTTTGGCTCAGGCAGTCTTTCCTCATGAGCCTGTTGTAATTGTCTCCTTTTCTGGCTGGATGCTTCTATAGCATCCTGTATGTCGACCAAGCCCTGAGTCACCGAGTTCTCATCTATCTTGCTTTCTGACTACATTGAAAGTTTTTCAAGAGCAAGATTTGTGTTTTATCAGAGAACAGATTTAAAAGTGTGGGATTAGGAGGTGTTATCATTTGTTGAATGAATTATTTCATTAGATCAAGATCAGAGAAAAAGTTGGGAAGCATAATGCAGCAGTCGCTTAACTACTCATATAGCATTCATTCTTTTTTCTTTTTTTTTTTTGGTACTGAGGATTGAACCCAGGGGTGCTCAACCACTGAGCCACATCCCCAGCCCTGTTTTATATTTTGTTTAGAGACAGGGTCTCACTGAGTAAGTGCCTTGCTAAATTGCTGAGGCTAGCTTTGAACATGACTCAGCCTCTGGAGTCACTGGGATTACAGGCATGTGCCACTGTGCCCGGCTCATATAGCACTATTTCTAAGTGATTACAACATTGGCAAGGTTTGATCCTGAGACTTGGAGACTACTAAGCTACTCTTTCAGTGTATTCTGTTAAATTTGGGGCTCCAATTTTATTACTGAGACATGTAAGAAGCTCCAGAAAATTATTGAATTTGGAGATAAATATTAAAATGTGTCAGTTTTATTAACTCTGGAGAAGCAGAGCAGGAAGACTAACTATATGACTTTTAAGCAAATGTGGACCAGTGTTCCTTATCTCCTTGAGAAATCCTTAGACAATCTAGCTTACTTCTTTCTGCTACTGAGGGTCATCTGAGAAAAGACTTGTAATCTCTTTTCCTAGACCTCCCTCCAATCAGGTTCAACTCAGAAGTGTAGATCAAGTGGGAGGGGCTATGAAAAGCCTATCTATTTCCCAGCTTTCCCTGTTTGGGACTTCTTTAGCTTGTGATTAGCCTGAGATTCTCATCATTAGCCTTCAAAGGTGGTCCCAAAAGGTACCCTTTATAGTCAGAGAATAACTCTAACGTCCTCTCTCCTCAATAGGAGTTACCAGCTTGGATATAAGCATGCTGGAATCCAAGAGGCCAAGACAAGTACAGCAGAGAAAGACATGGCAGCTACCTGTCCAGCCAAAGATGGGAAGGGCATTAAAGACTATAGATATTTTCAAATCCCATAGACATTTTCAAGCAAGATAACACTGTATTTTATTTATCTTCCCCAAATAGTTTGATTTTTCATTTAGTGACCAGGGATGAACAAGGATAGATATTAGGAACCTGCTGTCATCTCTATCCCCCAATTTTGAGGCCATATAAACATGCAGTTAAAAGGGAAGTAAAGATTAAAAATGCTGTATAATTTTATTAACATGATCCTAAAGAAATTTAAATATAAATTTCTTTAGAAGATCCATATTTGAGTGAATTCTCTTAAAAGAAAGGCCAGCCACATCTACTAGTAGATGGAACACAGAGGAGAATTTATATTCTGTGGCAGCCCAGGATCCCCTAGAGACCCTCCCCCAAGGACAGTACAGAGCACATGAGCAGCAGGTAGAGTTCCTTTTTCTTGAGTCTATCTGAGACCATCTTAAAGGTGTAAGAGAAAAAAGCAACAGAGTTTACTAAAATATGTCACAGTGGCAGGAAAAAGTAATTAAATCTTAAGGATGAAACTGAACACTTACAAGCAAAGGCCAAAATAACCATTTCATCATTCGATCAAGTCTAAATATATATAAAATTATGAAAAATAAAATAACAGTGACTTCAAATCCAGTGATGACAATGTATGGTTCAGGGGCTTGTGCGATGATAAAAAAGGTCATCGATGTCGCAGTTACTACCTAGGAGGAAAACAAACCATGCTTTACTCAATGATTTTTGAATACAGTTTAAGCCATAAAAGTGATCATTTCTACAATGATCAAATAAATAAGCTTCTGTCATATACACATACATATAAGAGCATGACTAAAATGTAGGAATAAAGAAACTCTTTGTGTTTTAGAGGATTAGGGGTGGCCCTCTTATTTTAAGTAATTATTCCACTTACCTTTTTTTTTTTGCAGTTCTGAGGATTGCACCCAGGGGCTCTTTACCACTGAACTACACCCTCAACTCCTTTTTTTTTTCAATTTTGAGATGAGGGCTCGCTAAGTTGCTGAGTGTGGCTTTAAACTTACCATCCTTCTGCCTCAGTGTCTTAAGTCACTGAAATCATGCACCTCGGTGCCTGGCTTCCCTTGTCCTTCTGGTACTACAGTTTCCCACATCTGTTTTCTTCATCTTTTCCCACCAAATAGCTTCTTTCCCTCTCATACTTTTAATTTGCCCTCCTCTCCTAGCTCCTTTCCTTGATATCCTATAAATTTAAGTTGTGTTTTCCTAAAATAAACACACACACACCCTTTCCTTTCATCTTGTTCCTTATAGAAATCCCGGTTCTGTTTTCTACATCTTGTTTTGCTTCTCAAAAATGTCTGTGTACTGGCTATCTATAATTCCTTAGTATTCACTCATCATTTCTTAACTGTTGGCAATCTGGAATCTTCTTAAAACTTTATTTATTTATTTTTATATAACAGCGGAAGGCATTACAACTCTTATTACATATATAGAGTTCAATTTTTCATCTCTGGTTGTGTGCATAGTATACTCACATCAATTCATGTCCTCATACATGTACTTTAGATAATAATGATCATCATATTCCACCATCATTAATTACCCTATGCCTCCTCCCTTCCCCTCCAGCCCCTCTGCCCTATCTAGAGTTTGTCTATTCCTCCCATGCTCCCCCTCCCTATCCCTCCATGAATCAGCTTCCTCATATCAAAAAAAAAAAAAAAACATTTGGCATTTGGGTTTTTGGGATTGGCTAACTTCACTTAGCATTATCTTCTCTAACTCCATCCATTTACCTGCAAATGCCATGATTTTATTCTCTTTTATTGCTGAGTAATAACTTAAGTGGAATGTTAACATGAAAAAATACCAGTGGGGATTAAAACGTGTTGTCAGAGAAAAAAACATTTTGATATTTTGTACTACTAAAGAACATTTTTACATGATTTCTCTCACTAAACACAATGCCAACAGAATTAAGGACATTTTAAGTATGGGGAAAAAACACCCCTGAAGATAATTAATCTAATTCAATTTTTTTTTCATTTCCAAAGGAAGATAGAGAATATGTCAATATTAGGTGAATTATTAAAGGAAAAGAATTGGTGAGTTCCAGGGAGTTCTATCAATGCCATGAAGTTCTTAGGAAAGAGAGCTCTATCTAAAGTCTCTTTGTGTTCTTGGCAGTGGTTTAGTCAAGAGTCTTCCCTGGCTAGATGTTTATAATAGCTTCCAGATGGTACCATTTTACATATTCTTTTTAACTTTAAGCCTACATAGGCTACTTATTCATAATTCTTTCAATTACTTTATTAGTGCCAAAGTATCTTTGAATTTCTAAATTGGTTAGTTTGACTACCAATAACTAAATTACTAAATTACTTCACTAAATTACTTCACTCTTTATAATGACTTTTAGCAATGTGTCATCTCAAATGAATTCATGGATCATAAAAATCAAGGTCAAGCCTGGTGTGGTGGTACATGCCTATGATCCTAGTGACTGGGGAGGCTGAGTCAGGAGAAGTTTGAGGCCAGCCTGAGCAACTGAGCGAGACCCTAATTTCAAAAAAATAAAGGGGGCAAGGGATGTAGCTCACTGGTAGAGAGCCCCTAGTTTCAATCCCTAATACTGTTAAGTATATAAATAATTAAATAAAGTCAAGGCTCATTTTTTTCAGTCCCCATCTTCTGTGGCCTTATTGTATGTATCATGGTTATTGGCACTGGTAATATCCCACTTCCATACAATTTCTGTCTCACTAGGTTCTCCCTTGATGCACTTTCCTAAACTTGTGGCCTTTGTTTCCAGTTATCTTTTAAATACCCTGTTCACATCTCAAACATTAGAGGAGAGGCAAAAATGAGTTGAATTTTGGTGAATTCAAGATTCCTGTAAATCTCTTCAGTATTCTATGGAAACTGACTTTGTTATCATTGATTTCAAAAGTATTAAATTTAATACACAATTTTTCTCTTTCTTTTGTGTTACTCAGGATGGAATCCAGGGCCTATTTCTCTGTTCATCTGGCTCCCAGGTCACTTTCCCTTGTTCTTGTGCCTCCTGAATCTGTTCTCTCTTGGTGGGCTCCTCCACTTTTACCCACCTCTTTAAAATGCTGGCATTCCTCTGGATTTGGCCCACATCCCACTCTGTGAAATCTAAGTCTCTGTTCTTGTTCTAAAGCCCACAATTCACACTTACACATTCAGAAACACTAACCAGATTTACAGGAATCTTGGATTCACCAAAACTGAACTCATTTTTGCCTCTCCTCTATTCACCACCTCAGTTGGTAGTACTACAATCTACTTTATTATCCAAGCCAAAACACCTAAGATCCAGCTCCTACTCCTGACAACTGAGTTGACTTCATGCCTAAACCTGTTTGTCACTCTCTGCTCTTCATTCCTACAACTATTGCTCTTCGGCATCCTTTTCTGGAACTACCAAAGATGCTACAGTACAATTTCTAAAATGCAAATGTGTATACATTTCCTCACCTACTTAAAATCCTTCAACATGGTCTTTAGACAGAGCCTCGCTCTCATCGTGTATTCAAGGTATTCTATGATTTAGCTCCTGTCTACTTCTCTAGCAGACTTGTCTTACAACTTATCCACAAGATAATTCCAAAGTTTACTTCTTGGTCCTCATTTTACTTGAATTAATATCAGTATTTGATGCAGCTGATCACGCCCTCCTGAGAGTGTGTTCACTTAGATTCCAGGACACCATACTCTTGGTTTCTCCTACTCCTGCCCTCCCCCCACTGCTCCCTCTAGTTCTTCTTTGCTAGTTTCTTCTCTAGTTTCTGATAACTTTGGTGTTATCTTGGATTCCTCTCTTTATCCTACTCTGTGTCTAGTTCATCAGCAAATCTTGTAGGTACTACTTTCAAAATACATATTGAGTATCTCTAATCTGAAAATCTAAAATGCTCCAAAACCCAAACCTTTTTGAGTTGCTAATTTAAGTAGAAAACTCCACAACTGATCTCTGAAGGAGTGCACAGACTTGTTTTCATGAACAAAATTTTTAATAATTTTTATACAAAATTATCTTCAGGCTATGTACATAAGGTACACGAAACACAAATGAATTTTGTCTTGGGTCCCTTCCCCGAGATATCTCATTACATATAAATAATATGAAAGTATGAAACTCTTCTAGTCCCGAGCATTTTGGATAAAGGATACTCAACTTGTATATTTCAAATGTGACTACTTTTTTTTTTTTCTTTTTGTACTGGGGATTAAACCCAGCGGTGCTTAATTACTGAACCCTTTTTAAAATATTTTTTTTATTTTGAGACAGGGTCTCGCTGAGTTGCTTAGAGCCTCTCTAAGTTGCTGAGACTGGCTTTAAACTCTCAATCCTCCTGCCTCAGCCTCTTGAATTGCTGGGATTACAGGCGTGTGCCACCGCGCCCAACTCAAATGTGACAACTTCTTATTACTTACTCGGCTACCACCAGCCACCAAGTGGCATCATCTCTTGTGCAGAATACCACAACAAGCTTTAAATGGCCTTCTTGATTCTACCTTTACCCTCCATCAACCCCCCCACCCCGTCTCTTCCCATCAAACTATTTATTGTTAGTATATTTGAAAAAAAATAATGAGTCAAATATATACTCCTTTACTCAAAACCTTCTCATCTCCACTGTGTTCCTTTCACTCCACTCAAGGTACACTTGTTACCTTGCTCAATATCGACCCCTTATTGGACTTTCCTCTGACTTAAAACACTCCTCTCCACATAACTCCCTCGACTCTCTGATGTCATCTCAACAAGGACTAACTTATTATGGCAAACTTCCTTTTCAAACTTCCTTCCCCGCCACCCACCTAAGTATCCTCCCTTACCCAGCTTTATTTTCTCTTATTCCATAGCACTTATCACTTCCTAGAATATCACATGATTAATTTATTGTGTTGGTCTCCCTGGCTCTCCTACCCCAATATGTAAACTCCATGAAGATAGGGATCTTTTACTTTGTTCGCTGAAACCTCTCTAGGGCCAGGAACAGGACCTGGCAGATTATACATTCAATAAATATCCATTGAATGAATAAATAAGGCAACATTCAAAACTTCTCATAATTTGCTGTATAAATCATATTTTTTTCTTCTCCATGCCTTGGTGGCTCTCTCTTAGACCCCACCATAATTTGCTTTATAAAAGTTTCCTAACACTTCTCTTTATCTCCTTAGTTAGATGCCTTACCTTTGTACCCTATCTCTACCTTATCTCCTTTTATATAGTTATTTGCTTCTGTATCTGTCTCTTCGACTAAATTGAAGAATCCTAAGAGTCAGGGACTTGTCTTGGTATATTTTTGTTGTCCCTGGTATTAGCCCAGAACTTGGAATACACTAAATATTCAGATTGTTTGCTTAAGGAAATAATGTCAAAAACTAAACTTTTCTCATGAAACTTGTTCCTCTTTCAGTGTTCTAGAGCTTTTGGTACCTAGCACAACACTCCAGATCTTCAGGTCACTTTTCACCTGATTATTTATTCCTAACCAAAGGTCTCCCTCCCCCCTCCACTTCTCTCCCTCCCTCTCCCCCACCACTCTCCCCCCCACCTCTCTCCCTCCCCCTCCTTAAAAAAAAAACTCCAGTGTAGGTTCCTGAACTTCTCATATGCATCCTAATTTGTATTATTATATAGGTTTCTCTCAGAATCTCAGACTTTTGGTGTGGGAAGGATCTTATATACAATTTGTTCTATTCACTCACCTGAAGTCTGAAGCTTTACAACATCCTTCCCAAGTGCTCCTCTGTGCATATTATCTTTGTTGCCCCGGAATAGAGTGCTTCCCAAGTGGCCATTTAACTTTGGGACCTTTTGCAAATATAAAATTCTTTCCTATGTGCAACTGCTTCCTTGTAACTTTTAACTATTTCAACCTCTTCTCCCATGTTAACTCTTTAAAATTTAAAACAATATTTTTTTTTCATTTTCCTTGAGTTTTCTAGAATTCCTTCAACTAAGATTGTTTCCACTTTTCTAACTAGCCCAGCCACTCCCCTCCAAATGATAATTAATTTCCTCTAAACCACTGTCCAGAACTGTCTGCAATGCTCCTGGTAAGTATGAAGCCTTAAAATAGGCAAGTTCCGTCTTTGTCCTTGCTCTGGACAATATCAGCCTTGAGCTTCATCACATCAAATGTTTGACTTACAGTAAGTAACCTTAGCATCTAACAAACCCTTAAGATCTTTCTGATCTTGTTGGCTTCTGAGTGGTACAGCTATGACTGCATCCCCTGGTCACCTGATCTGCAGGCTTGGGGGTCCAAGTGTAGGCCATTGGGGTCGGTCTGTGGACTTTGTTTAATGACTGTATCCCCAACCCTCTCGGGAGAGGGCAGAGCTCTATGACTCCTTCCCCCTAGAGGGCAGAGCAAAATGCCTTACTTGTTGGGAAACCTTGATAAAAACAAAGTTGACGGAACCAATGTGGCGTTGTTCCACTGTAAACTTAACGACCATTCTTCCGGGCCCTTAAGCACCCTTGCTGTCTGACTCACTTCGCCCCGCGCCCTGTCCCCAGCCTTATCCCTCACCAGCCTCAGCATCTTCACGTGGCCTTTCACGCTGCAGCAAAAGGGGCGATGTCTTGGTTTCAATTGCATGGCAGTCTCCATTGCGCCAGCGGACTTGACAGCTGCACTTCTCCGATCCTTCTCCGAAGCACCCGACCCCGCCAAGCTTCGCGCAGAGGATCTCAACGGCCGCCGCCCCTCTGGGCTTCCCTCCCTCGCGCGCGTGCGCAGCAACCACCCCACCCCCGGCACTCGTGCGCCTGCGCTCCACGGGAGCCTTGCGATCCGCTTGGTGGACCTGGCGCAAAAGCCAACCTGAGAGTGCAACAAAGTGGTTCCGCCTCCTGTTAGCTCGCTTCGCTCTGCCTGGAACTTAGGACCATAACTCTCTCCAGGAGCTTCCCAGTAGACCGGCGCTGACAGGGTTGGGGTAGGGGAAGACAGGCAAGGGAGGGTGACCCAGGAATGCTTGCTGTGTCTCCGCAGACTGTGGCATCTCAAATGCCACCTCCTTAGAGAAGATTTCCCTTGATCACCCTGTGCAGAGTGGTCACCGTCACTCTCTCCTCAGCCTTTATCTCTAGCTGATATCATAAGGCTGATTCCTGTGAGGAAAGACTGATTAATGTGTACCGAGTTATAGTTAGGAGAAAGAAGTTCTGGTGTTCTGTGGCACCCTATGGTGACTACAGAGAATGATAATGTACTATTTCGTTTAAAAATAAGAATCTCAAAGAAAGGGTTTTGAATGTTGTCACCACAAAGAAATGATAAATGTTAATAGATAAATCTACACTGATTTGAACTCTACAGAATGTATATATGTATTGAAACATCACATGGTACCTGGTAAATAGGTACAATTAAAAAATGTATTTAGTTGTAGATGGACACAATATCTTTATTTTATTGATTGATTTTTATGTGATGCTGAGGATCCAATCCAGTGCCTCAAGCGTAAGAGTCAAGCGCTCTACCACTGAGCTACAATCCCAGTCCCAATAGGTACAATTTTTGTGTATTAGTTAAAAAAATAATACATATCCCACAAAAGCAAGGACCTGTCTGTGTCTGTGTCTCTCCCTGCAGGGTCTGGCAAACAGTAGCTGTGTAGCCTGAACTAATGGCCTGGATCTCATATGCTATCTGTATTCCCAGGGTGTCACAGTCTAGGTTTGTAAGTCTGTTAGTTCTGCATAGTTTACTTTTACCTCGCACTGATGCTAGTGTTTCCATACCTAGAACAGTCTTAGATCCATTTTCCACAAATGCTCCAATGAAGCCAATGAAATCACTCACAAAAATATTGACCTTAATCTTGAAGTTTATTTATAGAAAGCAGATAGGCAGGAAGCCCAAGATGGGATGGATGGTAGTTTTCTGGTCACAGATCTAGAGGCTAAGACTGGAAATGACTTCTTTCTCTCCGCACAAGCGTGACTGCCAGGATCCTATACTTGGGGGAGGGAGAAAACTACCTACCCACTGAAACTCTCATATGGTCTAGGATGGCAACAGTTGTGTTTACTGGGCTTGGGCCAGTCCAATTGTAATACCTTGTCTAGGGTTGCGGATGTAGCTCAGTGGTAAAGTGCTTGCCTAGCATGCATGCAGTTCAATCCCTAGCACCACAAAACAAACACACACCACGCAGTCTATCCCAAATCCAGGCTGAATTTTTGTTACCTGACTATAGGTGGGATTTACACGTTTCCTCCCTATACCCATTTGTCTGTCCCATTGGAATACCGATAGGATCTTCCTGAGGGATCTAGCACATTTATTGTCCTGAATTCCGACTCCCCTGCTCCCTCACTTTTTAGCCTGTACTGGGGATCAAACCCAGCGTCATTTTGCCCAATTTTCCAATAACGAATTCGGAGAATGGGAGTGACAGTATCTACGTACAGGGTTGTTGGGGAGGACCACCTGACATGAAGGGGAACCTGGCAGGTGTGGATGGCGTAGGCGTCAATAATCTGCAGTAAATTCACAAACCAATCAGTCCCTGGGAATACTGCTATCCATCCTCCAAGTCATGCGTGCTGCTAGCTGCGAATCCCTCACCGCGGACCTCTCCCTTTCGCGGAGAGGGTGAAATGCGACCGGGTCTCTTTAAGGCCGCCTGGGCGGGCGGGGGAGGGGGCGCGCGGGGCTGGACGTGCAGCGGGGCCGCGCTCGCCCTGTGTGGCCCAGGAAGGAAGCCGGGACCGCTGCATCCGCCAGGTGGCTATGCTGCTGCGACCGCTGCGGGGCTGGGCCGCCCGGGTGCTGCGCAGCGCCGGGTCTGGGGGCGCCGGGACCCCCGCCTCGGGCGTCTGGCCGCGGGGGGCGCAGCGACGCGCCTGGCCTCCGGGTAATTTGTGCCTTTGCTCCACCTCCGCGGCGTCGCGTTGCGGCCCCCGCCGGCCCGACCCCGAACGTCCTCCTCCCCGCCGCGGGGCTTCCCCCGGGCCGCGGCGAGGGGCGGGGGCGGTCATTGGAGCCACCTGGTCGCGCGCCGGCGGCGAGCGGGCGGGGCCGCGGGGTGCGCCCCGGGCTCCCAGATGGACCGTGGGGCTTTAAAGAGCCGGAAGGACGCAGCCCGAGGGGCGGGGGCGGCCTTGAACTTTCGGGCCGGGGCTGGGACCCTCGGCTCGTTGTGTGTGTGGGGGGGTTCCTTTGGCTTCGGGGAGCCGCGTTAAGCCGGCCCTGGGCGGACGAGGCGCCCGCGGTGGTGTGGAGGTTAGTTTCCCCGCGTCCTCCTCTCTCGCCGTGACCCACCCCTTCCGAAATGGTCGCCACCTCTAGGGCCAGCTGTGGTGTCGCTGGCCTTGGGCAGTTGAGAGGCGACTCAGCACCACCTGTGGGGCGGGTGGGTGGAACGAGTCTTCCCCGGGCCCCAAACCCAAGCCCTGCGCCAGCTCTCCCCAAAGGCCCAGTGCAGGCCGCACTGCGTTGTCATTTGTCGCACTCTGATCTGTGAAGACCCCAGAAATAAAATGAGTGGAAGAACGGAAGGTATGATATACTAAGTGAAAGAACCTGGTCATACTTGGGGCTCAGATGTGCTTACAGGACCCAGGCAGCCTCTGTCGCGAGTAGGTAGGCCAGGTTCCCTGCCTCCACCCACCCAGGGAAGGACCCAAGAAGAGAAAATATTTTTAGGTCAGGGAGCAAGCATAAAAAGTACTGTTTGTGGTCATTTGGCAAAAGGGTGCACAGAAAAGTGAGCTGTTTAAAAAGTAAGTGAATTTAAAAATTGATTTCCTTTCTTTTGTAGATAGAGAAAATGAAAAAGAGAAAAAATCAGTGGTAAGTTCCTCTTTTGTGTGCACTGACCATCATAGGTTAATTCTTATTTATTTTTGAGGAGGAGAGTAGAGGAATATGTGTACATAGTAAATAATAGAAATATCACCAGGGATAAGAGCATCTGTTTCCATCCCTGGGCCTCAGAACCCTTCAGAGGCCACCTCTGTAACCAGTTTCTTGTATGTTCCTCCTTGGGAGTGTACACAGATAGGAGCATACGTGTATTCATATTCTTTTTTTTTCCATTGTTGATAGACCTTTATTTTTTTTATATGCATTCCTGAGAATGGAACACAGTCTCTGTCTCACACCAGACAAGTGTGCTACCGCTGAGCCCCAGCCCCTGTATTCATATTCTTTAGGTAGATATGGACTGCAGCTTGAGGACTGATTGTAAAAGTATTGAAAAATGGTCAGTCTGTGTCGGGAAGGTTGGTTTCACTGTGGCTTGGGCAGCCCAGATGTGAGAGAAAGATCTGCTGATGGCTTCCTGCAGATTGTCTAGTGCTGAGAATGGTGGGTGGAGAGGGGATCTGAGAGAATCCATGAGGGTCTATGGTATGGACTCAGTCATTCAGATGACTTGGGGAGGTCCTGGTTCTGGGGTGGGATTAGGGCTGGTGTGTGGCTGAAGGTCAAAGAAGGCTCAAGGTAAACATATCTGTAAGGATGTTGGGTTCTTCAGCTGATTGGGGTCAGGAACAACGTTTTAATCACCATCAGTCTATGGGCTCAGTTTCTTAGGGGAGCTGGAAGTCAGTAGCTTCTGTAGCTGGGGAAGAGGTCTTGGTTGGTGGTGGCATGAGTATGTTGGCCAGGGTCTGCAGCGGCTGGAAAGTGTGGGCAGGCCGGTGGCGTACTCAGGATGATGGAGAGGGCCTGGAAAGGAGTGACATTGCAGGAAGGGGGCTGATGATTGACATGCTTGAGATTTATGAAAGTTTGGTGAAATTATAGGAGGGGGTGAGGTATGGCGGTGGCCACCATAGAAAGGGAGGGGAATACAGAGTTGGGTTGGATGAGAATTTATGTATTATTGTTAATTATTCAGCTATGGTCCTCTTTTAGGTGCTTTCAGGTGTCTGATATGTCCCCAGATACATAGTAGCAAGTCCATAGGAAGTGGTATCCTGTAACCATTCAAGTCTTGTGAGGTCCTTTGTGGGAGACACTGCATGAGGACCCTAGGAACCAAACAACTCAAGTCATTAGGGAGCCTGAGTTTAGTCTAAAGGGGGCTACGTAGTAAACAGAACAGTGGTGGATCTCGAGCAGCAGAGAGTCTGGGGACTATGAGGAAGCAGGCAGGGGGCTGACGATCGAGCCTTGAGAAACCTTGATGCTTCTGGATGGAGGAGAAGAAACAGCAGATGTCACTGACAAAAGGAAGAGAACCTGTAGGTTTGGACTTGTGGCCAGTTCCTAGAGAGTGGCTGGGGATAGATCCTAACATCTACAGCCACTGAAGGATTTTATCCCTGTCTCAATCTGTTTTATGCTACTCTGATAGAATACCACAGACTAGGTACCTTCTAATGAACAGAATTTTGTTTGACTTGTGATTCTGAAGATGGGGAAGTCCAAGATAGAGGAGCCAACATCTGATAGGGCTTTCTTGCTCCATGTGTGTGTCATCCCATGGTGGAGAGGATGGTGGAGAAGAGAAAGAAATTGGAGAAGGGGGTCCCATTCAGTCTTCCATCAGGAACCCATTCCTGTGATAAATAACCCACTCTTTCAATGATGTCATTAATCCATTCCGGAAGGCGGTCCTCATGACCTAATCAACTCTTAAAGTCTCACCTCTCAATACTGTTGCATTGGGGATCAAGTTTCCAGTATATGAAGTTTGAGGGATGCATTCAAATCATAGCATCCATGTGCAACATGATTTGGTTTGCCTCTCAGGGAGAGACAGTGGCGGACTATGGGTAGAGTGCTGTCTGGGGTGAGGCTGGAGGTAGAGAGGCTGGCAAGGAGGTCACTCCAACAAGAAAGAGCAGAGGCCTTTAGCTAGGGGTAAGTGGGTTGGGGATTGACTGCAGATGAGTGGGAAACAGGGCCCAGGCACATTTCTGATTGATTGGTGTCGCTGGGTAAGGAGAGGTGTTCAGGGTATGGAGGGTGTTGAATGGATGGTACAGCCATCTCATAGCATTATTACAATATCAAACCATTGAGCACTACAATTTTTATAATAGAGCAGTTAGAAGGAATTTAACATCCAACAGTAAGATTTAGTACATCGTTACTTATCTTATGTGATGGAATATATAAGCCATGAAAAAAATCATACTGTTGAAAAAAAATAGCTGGATGTGGTGGCGCATGCTTGTAATGCCAGTGACTGGGGAAGTGGAGACAGGAAGATTGCAAGTTAAAAGCCAACCTGGGCAACATAGCAGGACCCTGATTCAAAATAAAAAGAGCTGGGGTTGCAACTATCCCACTCCTCAGTTTATAATCCAAAAGATTTTAAATCAGCCTACTAAGATGGTGCAGCCACATCAATGTTTATAGCAGCTCAATACACAATAGCTATGGAAATAATCTAGATGCCCTTCAACAGGTGAATGATAAAGAAATTATGGTATATATACACAATGGAGTATTACTCAGTCATAAAGAAGAATGATTATGACATTTGCAGGTAAATGATGGACCTGGAGACTTATCATGCTAAATGAAATAAGGCAGGTTGAATGTTTTCACTTTTATGTAGAAGCTAACCCACAATAAGCGGGGAGAGGAGAAGAATAGATATTTAGATATAGATAATATCTATTATCTAATAGATATTAGACAAAGGGGAGTAAAGGGAAGGGAGGGAGGATAGGAAAAGGAAAGAGTTCAATAAAAACAAAGTAATTTTCCCATGTACTACACCATAGTGAATCACACCATCATGTGCATCCATAAGAAAGGGGTTCTAGCTAGAATAAGACATATTCCATGCTTTTATAGTTATGTCAAAATGAATTTTGTCTCATATGACTAAAAAAACCCAATAAAATAAACTGGAAAAAAAAAGAACTGGGGTTGTAGCTTAGTGGCAGAGTGCTGCTAGGCTCAATCTCCAGTACTGGAAAAATAATTCAATAAAGCCTTTTTTTTTTTTTAAAGGACCCAGTTCAATGTCACTTAATATTTAAATAATGAAGAGAAGACTTACCACTTTCACCCCCAAACTCTCTCTCATACACCCCTATTGTTAAGCATATGACTTTCTCTTAATAGTCTGAGAATTTCAGTTTATAATATTTTTTCCTTGTTTTTTTTCCCTAGGAACAGTTTACTTTTTTTTCCCCATGTAGGTCACACAATGTATTTTCATTCTTATTGGTTTGTGTGTGTGTGTGTGTGTGTGTATTTTTTCCCCTTTTATTATTCTTTTACATAGTACCTTCCTGTTTTTTTTTTTTTTTTAACATATGTGGGACCACACATTGCTTATTATGATCTTCTGGAACCAGAGCCACTTGGGCCTCTGTCACTAGCAGTGCATAACTGAGCAGAGCCTTGTCAGAATTCTAGGGCAATAAATTGGAGGGTTCCAACCCAAAGTCTGATTCAGACAGTCTGGATGCTACCACATTTTTGACAAGCCCCTCTAGGACTAGGGTGTAGCTCGGTGGAAGAGCACTTGCCTAGCATTCTTGAGGTCCTAGGCTTGATCCACAGCATTGCAGAAACCAAATGGAAAACAAGCCTGTCAAAAAGCCAAGTCCTTTGATGCTTTAGAAGCAGGTGCCTGAGCAGACCAGTGATGCTCAACCATGCCTGCACTTAAAACCACCTTGGGAACTTTAAAAGTTACTGAGGTCCTGGGCTGGGGATATGGCTCAGTTGGTAGAGTTCTTGCCTCACATGCATAAGGCCCTGGGTTCAAATCCTCAGTACTGCCCCCCTCCCCTTCAAAAAAGTTACTGAAGTCCTAGTCCTGTCCTCAAAGCTTGTGGTGTGATTGGTCTGGGTTGTGGCTTCCTTGTAGAGCTTTTAAAAGACTTCTGGGTGATTCTAACACATCACCAGGGCTGAAAACCACTGCTTCCAACTCCTTCTCCATCTATTGCTTAATCCTTAATAGATCCCAGAAGGCTGTTTGTGGCCCCTTCCTCTCTTACCATGACTCCCCCTCCCCAGGTGAAGTTAGTGTGAGCAGGGAGTAGGTTCAAGCTGTTCCTTTTTCCTTTTTATAAGCCTCATTTTTTTCTTCCGTGAAAAATGTTAGGACATGTTTTTCAGGTTCTGGTCAGGTTAAATGTGATAATGGCTTGACCTATGACAAACATCTTTGTTTTTTTTTTCTTTTCCCCTTTCCTAATACTTTATAGTCAGTAACTGCTTTTTTTTTTCTCTACAAAGCAGTGAATTAAGATTCTAGATAACATAACATGTATTACTCTACCTTAAAAACGACTGATTTAAAAAAAAAACACAACCACTAATTAGACTCTGGTTGAGGAGGCAGGATGCTTACACGTAAAATCGAACAGTCCTAGGTGAGGGCAGATTTGACTGGGTAGACAAGTTGTGTGTGACTTGCTGGAAAGGAGGGTCTGGTCTGGAGGGACCACTTGAGCCTGCCATTGGAGTCAAAGGGGTGACATTTGTTTGTTAGAGCTAACGGTGGGACACTGGGGGTTTCTTGAGGAGGGATTTTGGTTTACCTGTCGAAATCCTGGACTGAACCAATAACGCTCTTCACCTAAGACCTCCCCTAGAAATTATCCCCTAATGTTCTTTTAGGCACTCAGTTTCCATCTCTAATGCACCTTGTCCTTTGCCAGGTCTGTGTGGAGGGCAATATTGCAAGTGGGAAGACCACATGCCTGGAGTTCTTCTCCAACACGACAGACATCGAGGTGAGGCATCCACACGGGGTTCTAAGGAGCTTGAAAAGCCTTGATGGGATGGTTTATAGGGGGCATGGCCCACCCTGTCTGTGGAAATATAATGCAGGTCACAAGTGCAAGCCATGTACTTAATTTGACATTTCTAATAGCCTCATTTAAAAAAGGCTGCCGGGGGGCGGGGGGGCAACTGAGGATTTAGTTCTGTGTAGAGTGCTTGCCTAATTGTGCATGACCCTGGTTTTAATTCCCAGCATTGTAGAAATGAACAAACCAACCAAACCAACAAACAAAAAGAGAACATTTAAAGAAAAAATGTTACAAATATTATCATGTCAACGTGTAATCAGTATAAAATCATCAATGAGCTATTTTGCCTTCTATAATCATACTAAATCCTTGGAATCTAGTATATATTTTATACCTAGTAGCATCTTTCTCTCTCTCTTTAAATTTTTAGTTATAGATGGACACAATATTTTTATTTATTTATTTATTTATTTTATGTGGTGCCGAGGATTGAACCTGGTGCCTCACAGTTTCGCAGCAAGCACTCTACTACTCAGCCACAACCCCAGCCCCACTAGTAGCATCTCTTAGTTTGGACTACAAATAATTCCCAACTTAGGATGGTTCAACTTAAAATTGTTGGCTTTACAGTGGTGTAAAAGCAGTATGCATTCAGTAGAAACTGTACTATGATGTTCATAGTATGTAGTTGGTAGATTAGTTGTAAATGCATTTTCAACTTGGGATAGTTCCAAGTTGAGGTAGGTTTATTAGGGCATAACTCCATTGTAAATTGAGGAGCATCTGAAGTCAGATTTCAAAGTTGTAATAGACTCACCTGGTTCATGGCTGATGTTTTGGACCGTGCAGGTAGGTATAGACCTCCCACCATGTATTAAGGAAAAGAGTGTATATGTGAAAGAAGAAAAGTCAGGCTGTTGAGTAGGGTTAGAATATTACAATGTGAGATGTGGGATATCAGGGTCCAAGCAGGGGAGGATTGGTATGTATAACCAGGTAATATAATTTCTAGTTCATTGAAAACCTAGTGTCTAAAATTAACCTCATAGATGTTTAAGAATTATCTCTACACAAAGAACCTGGTCCTTCCTCCTCATTCTAGATTTTAGTGCTATAATCATTTCTGTTTTGGCCCCTTTTTGTTATAGATTAAGTGTCTGTTATCTGAAATGCTTGTGACCAAAAATGTTTCAGATTTGGGATTTTTTTTTTCAGATTTGGAATATTTGCATATGTATAATGAAGTATTTTGGGCACAAGACCCAAGTGTTAACACAAAATTCATTTTCATCTTACATACACTTTATACACATGGAAGGTAGTTTTCTGCAATATCTTTAGTGTGTCTGCATTCTGTGATATGTCGCATGAGGTCAAGTGTGGACTCTCCCACTCATGACATCATGTTGTTGCATAGAGAATTTTGGATTTTGGAGCATTTTGGACTTTAGATTTTCAGAATAGGGATGCTCAAACTGTACCCCAGATCTTACAATTTTCATACCATTGTAATACTTTTCTCTCCTTCCTTCCTTTTCCTGTTTTTACTTCTATTAAAAATTTGTGTGGTTTGATAAATAGACATCATATAGCCCTGGTCTTGCTTGTGCTTATGTGCTGCTGTTATAGCAGGTCCAAGACTGCTGTCATTAGGCTTGCTTGCAAGGTTGACCCTTGGCTAGCATATAGGAATGTAGGTCTTGGGAGGATTTCTACCATTCTTAACTGATGGGAGTGGCTGTCTGTGCCTAAACTCTGCAAACAATATTTTTTATGTTGAATGCCTGTTTTCTTCTTGGAGACTTGGGAATTTGGTATGTACCAAATTGTGTCAGGCTGTGGTTGCCTGTATGATTGAGCATCACTGAAAGCCCTGAAGTCCTAGGTTCAGGTCAGCTTCCCTGGTAGACAACATTTTTTAATGAGCTATGATAGCTCATTGCTGGGGGAATGAAGTGAGTCCTATGTGACTATACTGGGTGAAGACACTTGTAACCTTGTGCCTCATTTCTCCCCAGGTACCTTTTCCCTATGCTGATTTTGCTCTGTATCTTTTCATGGTAATAAATCTTAGCTGTGGGTTTTGTATGCTTTGTCTCCTGGATTATCAAACCTGGGAGAAAAGAGGTTCTTGGGAACTCCCCACACCTACCTGGGGTATAACTTTCCATGGCACTTTAGAAACACTTGTATTCTCATTGAAGACCTTGGAACCAGTCAACAACAATGACAGATAATATTTATCTGATGAGTATACTACTGTATGCCAGGCACACATTAAATTGTTCATCATATTATCTAATTGATCAAATCTTTACCTGAGTAGTTCTGTAGTTGTAAATGATATTACCAATTGGCCTACGAATTTACATGGTGTGATGGCTAGTTTTAGCTGTCAGCTTGACTGGATTAAAGAATATAGTAGTCCCCCCCATCCTTTATATGTGGTTTTAGTTACCTGGGGTCAACCACAGTCTGAAAATATTAAATGGAAAATTCCAAAAATGAACAATTCGTAAGATTTAAGTTGCATGTTGTAGTGAGAAGTACTCACTGAAATCTAATGCCATTCTACTCCATCCCAATCAGCATGTGAATCATCCTTTTGCTCAATGTATCTACATTGTATACACTACCCTCCTGTTAACTTAGTAGCCATCTCAGTTATCAGATAAGCTGTAGTTGTATCACAATACTTGTGTTTAATTTACCCTTATTTTACTTAATGGTGATTCCAAGATGCAAGAGTAATGATGCTGACAATTTTATTATAGTATATTCTTATCATTGTTCTATTTTAGTATTAGTTACTGTGCTTAATTTATAAATTAAACTTTACTATAGGTATGTGTGCATAGGAAAAAAAGTAGTATGTATAGGGTTTAGTACTATCTGCAGTTTCAGGCATCCACTGGGGGTCTTGGAACATATCCTTCATGAATCAGTGGTGGTGGGGGGATACTAGAGATAACTGTACCTAGAGAACTGATAGATCATTATGTGTGTCTAGGAGGGTAATTCCAGAGGAGATTGGTGTGTGAGTTGATGGACTGAGTGGGGAAGATCTACCCTCAATGTGGACAGCAGCATGCCATTGGCTATCCAGAGACCTGGATAGAACAAAAAAGAGAAAAGAATTTTCCCTCTCCTAGAGCTGGGACACTCCTCCTCCTAATCTTGGACATCAGAGCTCCAGGTTCTCCAGCCTTGGGACTTCAGGACTTAGACCAGAGGCCCCTGGGTTTGGGACCTTCAGCCTCAAAATGTGAATTACACCATTGGCTTCTCTGGTTCTGGGATTCAGACCTAGACCGAGCCACCTACCAGCATCCATGGGTCTCCAGCTTGGAGACGACGGGTAGTGTGACAGAGTTCTCAGCCTCCATGACCACATGGGCCAGTTTCCCTAATTAATTTCTCTCATGTTTCAATTTATATTTATCCTATTGTTTCTGTCTCTCTAGAGAACCTTGACTAATATACATGACTAGTATGTGGACGGTCAGGTCCCAGCTCAAGCTCTCTGGCTCCAGGACCATAACCTTGTTTCTTCTGTGGCATGAAGAGCTTGGTTGACGTTAGGAGGACCATTTACCCTTCAGATATCAGCTGATCTTTGGTTGTTCTCAGATCCTGTCTGGAAGTTACAGGGGGAGGCATCTAGATGGAGTTGTGGCCTGAGAGAAGGTTGCTTAGCTGTTTCGTCTTCCCCCAGCCACCCACATCCTGATAGTGCTGACTCTACTTTCACACTTACATGCTCTCACAAAGCTCAGAACTAGGGAACAGCAGCTCTGATGTGATCTTTTCTTTCTTTCTAGGTGTTAATGGAGCCCGTGTCCAAGTGGAGAAATGTCCGTGGCCATAATCCCCTGGTGAGTGGCTTATTTCTTGTACAAACTGCCAGCTTCCCCTTAAGTGCCTGGGAGTGGTGATGCTGTCACTTGAGCCTGTTACAGCTATTAGCCGAGTTGGAGGAGAACAGGAGGAACAAGCAGAAAATGGTGGCATGTTGGTTTTCTAAGTTTAAAGATCTCTGAGGCCTGGGTGGGTGTGCACAGAGCCCAGGAACCTCCTATCTGAAGTGGCTATTAGAAGCCAAGTCTCTTTGGATCTACCCCTCCCCACCCCACTTCCAGGACCTGCTTCTAAGTGACCAGGTTCCTTGGTGAACCCTGATTTGAGTTTGTGTTTGGCAACATCTGGTAATGGTATGCTCTGGCTCACCCTGAAGCCACCTGTCTGCTCTCCCAGATGGACCTAGAAAGCAGGGTCTATAGTGTGCATGTTCCCCTTCTTCCTTCCCCATTCAGAAGGTTGTGCTCTGATTGCTTGTAAGAAGTAGCTAGAATTTGGGTCCTACCTGAGAGGGCTTGAGAAGGGGATGTTGGTTCTGGGCTTCTACTTCATGACAGGGACAATGAGTTTCATTTTTTAGCCGAGAAAACGGAAGCTGAAATAGATTGTCCAAGGTCACACGGTGGCATATTGACTATGTAGGTTTGAACCTTAGCCTTGAAAGCCTGTTCTTTCCCTTCATTTTTAGCAGTGCAGGACATTTCCTTGTCTGGTTCATTAGACTCTGGGTTCTACTGCAGGCAGGGCCAGTGTCTGTTTTTGTCACTGTTATTTATTAGAACATAGTTACACTGCCTAGTCCTTAATAGGTGCGTGATCATTCATTCATACAGCCAATATTTATTGCATCCCCCCACTTCAAAGCCCCTGTTCTCCTGGCCCAATATTCCAGAGTGGGGAGGTAGGAGACAGTCAAATACAGAATGTAGTGGGTGGTGATAGGAACCATGAAGAGAACTAAAGAGGTGAAAGGATGTTATTTAAATAAGGCAAAAGCTGTCAGAGTCTTTGAATAAAGAATCCCACAAAGATGGAAAAGAAATTCACCTGTGTGCATGTGGGAGAAGCTGGAATGCCAGTCATCTTTGAGTGTAACAAAGAACCTTCAGAAACATTCATATTCTCTAGAAGTCAGGGAGGACCAGTGCTTGATTATAAAGTAGGACAGCTTGAGTTGTAGATTACAGGGGATACATCACAGGGTAGAATCGTAGTCTCAGGGCAGAGTGTCCTTGGTATAAATAGCATTTTCAGTGAGAGTATTATAATAAGAAATAATAACAGGATTATATAGTTGTACACAAGTTTCCATCTGGACAGAAGAGCAAGATCAGTGCTGTGAGAAGTGTTGGTTCATCACTCTGATTGGCTCTCTGTTGCAGAAAGGTGTCTGTTGCTGCAGTTGTCTGGCTCCTGACCTTTCTGAGATTTTCTTTCATCTGCAGTTAGGAGGGTCTGCAGTTTTCTGCGCAGAGTCCTGGAGTGTCATGAGTTTGTATCAAAAAAGTTTTAAAAATAAATAAATGAGTAGAATAAGATTCTTAGTGAGCAGACTATGAAGTGTGACGTGTCTTGTGTCTGCAGGCCACTGAGGGATTTGGGGTGGGTGAACTTCTCTGTTAGACGGCAAATCCAGGGAAACACATTTCTGATAAGGTTGACATTAGAGCAGAGACCTAAACATAAGGGAAGGGGTAGTCACCTGGAGGAAGAGTGTTCCAAAGGAAGAATGGCAGGTGCAAAGTCCCTGAGATGGTCATGTTTGCAGAACACTAAGGAAGTTCATGCAGTGGAAGCTGACTGGCTAGAGGAAAAATGGTAGGAGCTGAAAGAGGATAGCAGTGATTCTCTAGGCCCCCAGGAGCCATGATGAGAGTTTGGATTTCATTCTGAATGCAACATGAAGTCCCTGGAAGATTCTTGAGTAGGGAGGTGTTGAGAACAGGCTCATTTTGGCTATTAGATGGAGAACAGACCACAGGGGACTCAAAGAACATATATTGAGTGACTGGATGCATGTTCCCTAGGGAACATCCCAGCCCAGCTATTACTGAGCTGTTCTGTAATCGCTTTAGTGTCTTTGTCCACCCTATTCTCCAGACTTTGTGACCATAACTGGATTCCCTTTTGGCCCCTGTCTGGCCCTATGTAGATTTTTGAGATGATTGAAAGTAACTGATAGACCAGGGTCCTATAGATGCCACTTTGATGTAATGTGTTGCATTCTGCTTTTTTCAGGGTCTGATGTACCAAGATGCCTGTCGATGGGGTCTCACACTGCAGACATACGTGCAGCTTACTATGTTGGACCGGCACACTTGTCCTCAGGTATGTTTCACACACTCAGTTCCAACCTTGTCAAACAAAATTTTCTTCAAATTAGAGGTATGTGATTGCCAGAAAGGGAACTCTCACAAGGAAGCCCAGCTGGATCTTCTGTGCTGCATAGCTTTCTCTGCCTGGGGCAAGGTTTTCTGTCCCTGTAGCTTTCTGAGGACCAACCATCAGGATCCTCCACCCACCAACTTGTGACCTCAGGATGGCTGCCCCTGTGCCATCCTGAGGTCACATTTTCCATGATCTGGACCTGACCCACTACTGGACTCAACAGCATTTAATTCACTTCTCAAAGTATGGTTCCTGGACCGGCAGCAGCACCATCACCTGGGAACTTGTTAGAAATGCACATTTTTCTGGTCCCATCCCAGATCTGCTGAATCAGAAATTCTGAGGATGAAACCCAGAAATCTGTATTTTATCAAACCACCCATATGTTTGGAATGCATGCTTTAAGTTACACTGATCTAACCTTCGTAGGGTCTGGTTTTTAGTTTAGATTCTTGAGGGAAAGGATCTGATTATTTTAGCATGGGTCAAATGGTCTTCAGTCAGATGTTGGGGCAAGAGCACAGAACAAGTAGGTTGCTTAAGGCCCTCTGTCAGCAGGGAACTGACTAGGGATAGATTCTCTTAGAAAATAGGGTGGATTGGGAGACCCTGATTGACATCTGTGGGTCAAAGCTATCAGCACAACCTGAGATATCAGTGTTAGAGGCTCTCCATGAAGGGGACAAGATATCCCCAGAGCCAGTTATGTTAGTACAGTGACTGGGCTGGGCAGTTTGATCCAGGTCAGGGTACTGTCAGGTATAGTTATCGTTCTTCTATTGACAGAGATCTGCACCTTCTATTTTTTTTTTTTTTTTTTGGTGTGTGTGGTATTGGGGATTGAACTCAGGGTCTTGTACATACTGGGTAAGCTTTGTATTACTGAGCTATGTGCATGACTCTTTTTGTTTTATTTTAAGACAGCATCTCACTAATAAGGCCCGGGCTGACCTTGAAGTTTGGTGGGGTTACAGGCATGCACCACCATGTCTAACTAATCTGTTTCTTAAAATTGGAAGATGTAAGCAGAACCTTTTTGACAACTTTGAGTTTCTTCCCAGTTATCAGATCAGAGGAAATGTAGTCAGTGCTTTTCCCCTTGGCTTATCCCACTTTTCCCAAGTAGGCACTCAATTGCAAACTCAAATTGTATGTAATAATATAAGAATGTAATGAGACACAGGTGGCAATCTGCTAAATGTGTCCAGAGACAGAAAAAACTGGACAGACTAGGGAGAATGAGCAGAAGGAGAGAGGTGACTAAATGGGGAGCCAGGGAAAGATGGGCAGCAGTGCTGCAAGTTCAGAGAGGATGGAGAGAAAGATAGACAAGCAGGGAGGGGGCATAGGTGATTCCCTAGTTACAGCTTTGAATGTGTCTTTGAATTGCTGGCCAAGGTCCCATGGGTGACATGGGCCATGACAAGTGAAAACAGTGTTTGTCCACTTGGCATCAAAGGTAAGGGCCTCTCCTGCCTCCTGAAGGGACGGTGTGGACAAAGGGAAAGGTTGTGCGTTGAGTACTCTGTGATATCTGGTCATTCCCTTCCCTGCCAGGCACAGCCCTTCCCAGTTTCCACAGGCAGAGCTCCAGAATGCCACCCCTCACCTAGCCCTCTGGGGCTCTACCTCATTCACACAGGTCCTTTGCTTAACCAAATCCACCTTATTTATGTCCTTAGTCACTATATCGTGCCTCAAGTCACTATATCGTGCCTCATGTGGTAGTTTTTCCAGTACCTCCCCACCTTCAAATTGAGTCTCCTATCAAAAGAAGCTGCTGCTTTCAATTCACAATAGCTAAGCCATGGAATCAACTGAGGTGCCCTTCAGCAGATGAATGGATAAAGAAAATGTGATATATATATGCACAATGAAATATCACTCAGTCATAAAGAAAAATGAAATTATGGCACTTGTCGGTAAATGGATGGAACTGGAGAATATCATGCTAAGTAAGATAAGACAATCCCCCAAATCCAAAGGCTGAATGTTCTCTCTGATATGCGGATACTAACCTACAACAGGTGATGGTGGGGGTCGAGGGGAGGTTCACTGGATTAGATCAGGTAGAGTAGGGGGAAGGTTGGGGGGATGGGAATGGAAAGGACAGTAGAATGAATTGGACATAACTTTCCCATGTTCATATATGAGTACACTACCAGTGTAATTGCACATCATGTACAGTCACAAATGGGAAGTTATACTCTATGTATATATGATATGTCAAATACATTCTACTCTCATGTATAACTAAAAAGAACAACAAAAACAACAAAAGAGGCTGCTGCTGTTGAGCCCTCAGTCCCCTTTGCCAGGCTGTCCTGGCAGCTTGGGGTGGGATGGTGTGGGCAGACCTCTTGATTTTTATGTTCAGCAAAGTTGGGGGATGTGACTGGGGCTGGGTACAAGTTTTTCAAGGTCTTCTGACCCCCTCCTCTTTGCCTGAGTTAGCAAGTCACCTTTTTCCCCCTTTAGATGATGCCTGTACGACTGATGGAGAGGTCACTTCACAGTGCAAGATACATTTTTGTGGAAAACCTCTATCGAAGGTACCATAGTCTGCATTATTGATACTTTGTCACACCATTGACTTTTTGAAAGGAGATTGTAACTTGTTCATTTAGTTGACAGTTGTGGAGCACCAGCTTGGTGGTGCCAGTTATGTTGCCACAGTAATGCTGTTAACAAATGACCCCATCCCTCTGTGGCCACAGCTACCTGCCTTTGTTACCAGGCCAGCGAGGGTGGTCTGCTGGGTGGCCGCCTTACCTAGACAGGGCTCAGTTGGACATCTGGGGACTAGCTGGCCTGGGAGGGTCCCTGGGGCACTCGTCTCTCATGCTCATCATCCTCCCTTTGGGATCAAGCTCTGAGGCGTAGGCTCAGCAGCAGCCAGTGGCCCTGTGGTCTACAGGGAGTCTGCTGTCTCTGTGCCTCTGCCCTTTCCCCCAGGGGTGCTGCCCTGTGGCTTCCTTGGGGCCTCTCTGGACCTTGGGGGTCATGAGAGCGCAAGCCAGTCCTGAGAGCCGTCTTCAGGACCCAGGGCTCACTGTGCAGGATTTCCTGTTTGCTGCACCTGGCCTGTGGTTTCATCATTTCACATTTGTTGCCTCAGGTTTTGGTGGTTGAGGTTTTGTTATCTTTGTTTTAAAGTTTTCTGGGTTTATTCCTAGGCCTGGAATCAGGCAGTCGTAGGCCAGAGTTCTTTTCTCTTGAGTGAAAAATATTTTGGGCCAGAGCTAAAGGGATGAATGGGAGGAAGAATAGAATTTGGTCACTCCTCCTCTCGCGCCAACTCCCTGTATGTTCACCCACTCTAGTATCCGTACTGAAGTCTGATCATGGCTGGCCTTGCTCTTCTCTTGGGCACCACACCCTCCTGCAGCTCTGTCAAGCTCAGCTCTGCTCCTTAGAGGGCATGAAAGTGATCTCAGGGACAAGAGAAGAATGCTCTTCTCCAGTCTCTGCCAGGCCCTGCCATTTGGTCCCCAAGGCAGGGCTGCTTCTGCCCTACTCTCCCAGAGCACCTCCCTTAAACCTTTCCCAGCTTCTTAACCTCCTCTGTCATCGCCCCACAGGGCTGGAGTGGTCCATGGCTGGGCAGGGCCAGCCCTTACCATGACCTGCCAGGACCTTCATCCTCCTTTAGTCAGAAGGATCCCTCACTGCCTGGGTGTGTCCACTCTCCCCGTGGCCAGCCTTGCCACACCCAGGGCTGCGTGGGTCCCACACTTAGCAAGTCTACACTCCACTGGTGGAGGGGTGCGAGGGTAGGAATTCTTCTCCTGGACCTCCAGGAACCCCTGACTACTGCTGGGCTTGTGACCTTCAGTGGCTACCATTCCTGTCCTTTCCTGTCTGTGTCCCCTTGGGCAGAGGACACTGTGGGAATGCCAGGAGCAGATGTCAGGTCTCTTCCCCACTCCTTGACTTTTTCTTCTTTCCCTTTTTTGTTGCTTTTCTTTCCTTTTAGGTTAACATTTATTTAAAATTTGTAATAATGCTCCCACTCCTACTTCCTGATTTGAGAATATATTGTTAAAATTTGGAAAATGCAGAAAGATATAAGAAAAACAATAGAAGTCTCCCATAGTTCCACAGTTCAGAGAAAAACCCTGTTAACCTTTTGGTATTTTTCTTTCCAATTGTTTTAAAATGTGTGGATGAATATTAAAATTTAAAAACTAATGTAGTTATACATGATATCGGTTCATTTTGAAATAGTCGTACAAGCATGGAATATAATTTGTTCCAATTCAGTCCCCTGTACTTCCCCTTTCCCTCCTTTCCTCCCTCCTCCTGTTCCCTTTCCTGTGTTCTACCAGTCTTCTTCTATTTATTTATAGTTTTTTAAAAAATAGTGCATCATAATATACATAAAGGTGAAATTCTCTGTTGGGGGTGTGTGTATATGGGAGTTTGGTCATTTCATTCCACCGTTCTTCCTTTTTCCCACCCCTCCTTCCTCTCCTTCAATCCCCTTCCTCCACTCCACTCATCTTTCTTCTGTTTTCACAGGATTTCCTCCACCCTTTATTTTTACTTATTTTGGTGTAGCTTGACTTTCTGAGTCTGGCTTATTTCATTTAAGCATGATGTTCTCCAGTTCCATCCAATTTACTAGCAAATGCCATAATTTCATTCTTTATGGCTGAGTAAAACTCCACTGGGTATTTTATATACCCCATTTTACATACTACAGCCAGAGGGGCATTCCTGCCCATTTTCTTTATGCATTTACCTGTTAATGGGCATCTGGGCTGGTTCCATAGCCTGGCTGTTATGAATTGTGCTGCTGTAAATATTGATATGACTGTCCCTGTAGTGTGCCGATTTTAAATCTTTTGGATAAATAACGAGTGGGATAGCCGGGTCATATGGTGGTTCCATTCCTAGTTTTTTGAGGACTCTCCACACTGCTTTCCAGAGTGGTTGTACTAATTTGTGGTCCTACCAGCAATGAGTGAGTGGACTTTCCCCCCACATCCTCCTCAGAGTTTATTTTTATTTGTATTCTCAATAATTGTCATTCTGATTGGACTGAGATGAAATCTCAGTGTAGTTTTGATTTGCATTTCCCTGATGGCTAGAGTTGTTGAACATTTTTTCATGTATTTGTTGGCCATTTGTATTTTTGAGAAGTGTCTGTTTAGTTCTTTTGCTTTTTTATAAGTTGGGTTATTTGTTTCTTTGGTGTTGAGCTTTTTGAGTTCTTTACATATTCTGGATATTAATTCCCTAGCAGATGAGTAGCTGGCAGAGGTCTTCTCCCTTTCTGTAGACTCTCTCTTCATGCTCTTGATTGTTTCCTTTGCTGTGCAGTAGATGAATATTTTTGAAAATTTGCTTGGGTCATACTTTATATGCAGTTTTATATTCTGCTGTTTTCATTGAACATCAGATTCAGAGCATTTTTCACGTCATTAAATATTATTATACAACATCATTTTTTCAGTTACTGCACAGTTTATTTATATAGACAAACCAAGATTTAGTTGTCCATTATTTTAAATAGTGCCGCAGTGAGCACCATGACTGTTTTCACAAAATAAATTTCTAGGAATGAAATTGACATGCTTATTTGCCTCCCAGCCTGAATGCTGTCTCTGTTGTCAGGGGGCATGTTTTAAAGTGACTTTCTCTACTTGGAGCTCAAATTCCAAATACTCTCCCGTCTTTCATTCCTGGGGTCTTTCTACCTCATACTACAAACCATTCTTGGGGAATGGGAGGTCAGGAGCGCCCAGGTCCCAGCATCACTTCATGTCCAGCATTTTGCGGACTCCACTGTTCTTGATGACACCCTTTCAACCAAAGCCATCCCCAGATCGTTTTGGGGGAAATGGCACACAGCCCGGAAACTTTCTCATGGGTGAATAAAACCAATGCAACTCTCGCTCCAGTGGGAAGATGCCCGAAGTGGACTATGTGATTCTCTCTGAATGGTTTGACTGGATCGTGAGGAACATTGATGTGTCCATTGATCTGATAGGTAAGACAGCCCCTTCCCTGCCTTCTGGCCTGTCCATTCCCCTGGGCCCAGTGAGGATGTGCTTGGTGGGGGATGGGGCGCTGGCCAATGGTGATTTTTTTTTTTTTCTCCCTGTATTTATTTAGCCTTCTTCCTCTCAAAGAGCAGACAGAATCTCAGGGCTTCTGGTTGCTCATGGAGAAGAATCTGACCCTTGGTTCCTTAAGCTGTCCTCCCCTGGGTCAGTTGCTTTCAGACCTGGATCCATTTTGATTTCATGGATTTTCTGGGTTGTAAAGTGGGGGAGGGACAGAAGCTGGACATTTACGGAGGCCTGCCTTGTGCCAGGTCCTGTGCCAAGCTCTGTTTGTAGATAGAATTATATTCAGCTCACAGTGACCCTTTGGGGCTGATGACAGGGAAAGGGAACAGGATTGGGGGAATGAGGGTCAAGGTGCCTCTTTGGTTACACAGCTGGCCAGTGGCAAGGCTGAGAGCTGGCTCTGGTCTGTATCTGGCTCAGGGAGGTGATTATTCCTTTCCACCTGACCTGTGGGCTTCCTTCCCCCACCCCTTGTCTTGCTCCCAAGCCATGAGCAGAGCAATTAAAGCCATGTATGTTTTTTGTCCTCAGTTTATCTCCGGACCACTCCTGAGACCTGTTATGAGAGATTAAAGAAGAGGTGCCGGCAAGAGGAGAAGGTCATTCCGCTGGTAAGAGAGCAAAGACCTCCATGGCAGCCTGGCTCCCTCTCCCTGGCCCACCTCCTGTGACATCATTGTGCAGTTGTCTGCTGAGAGATAAACAGGAACAGGAACAGACCAGGGAGGGGGTGAGCTCTGACTTCCTCTGTGGCAGGAGTTTTTGGAGATTCAGAGCTGCTTCATTTGGTCCTTGACACCTCCCTCTCCTTCCTGCTGTGGCAAGCCCAGGGCTTTCCCATCAGCCTGCTGAGGGTTGCTTGCCTCTGTGCTCTCTGGATCCTCACTAGAATATGAGTTTGGGGAGGACAGGACCGAGCCTTTTGCTCCCTGCTGCATCCAGTGCCTAACACAGTGCCTGATGGAAATAGTGCTCAGTGCTTGGTGGTGCTCGCTTAGTACAGGGATGCTTTGCCCTTCTGGGGTCAGGCCATGGCAACTCTAACTGGGCCATTATAACAGGCTTGGACTATTCTCCTTCCCTGGGTCTTCACTCCCCACATCTCCCTCTAAAATCCAGCCTCCCGGCTGCTGCTTGGGTAATATTTCCAATAACAGAACCCTAGTCACGTGATTCCCTAGCCTGAGCTCCTCCAGGGTGTCACTGCCATCTAGAAGTCCCTGCTTTGGAGCACAGTACGTGAGCTCTCACATCACCCTGCCCCATTTGCCTCTCTGGTGTTGTCTCCCTCCACTTCTGCTTTCCATGCTCTGACCACAAGGAACGGGTTGTGACTAGGGGTATGTGCACATGCACACACATACACACCATGATTAGGCAAGTGTATCTTTACAGAGTGTTTTCCTTTGCCTTTCAAGTTTGTCTCAGATGTCCTGTCCTCCAGCAAGCCTTCCCTGAACTTCCCCCATTGTATTCTCCCTGCCCATAGGCTTACTGCAACCACAGCCCAAAGGAGGACATACTGATAGTATTTGTTTATGCCTTTGTTTCTCAACCCTTAAAAAACCCTTATTCCCTCTGTGTCCTCAGTATGTGTCCTGACGCCAGGTAGCTGCTCAGTTAATATTGAACTGAACACCTTTTGTGAGCAGCTGCACCTGCAGATACACAGAGGCTGGGCAAGCATTTAGTAGGAGCTGTGAATTCAGGATGACTGGACTGGGTGCCCTGAAAGAGCTGTCTAATTCCTGAAGCCTTGATCAACCTGGGTTTACCCGGGACCAGCAAGGAACATTCCAGTGTTGAGGCTGGTGCATGGTTTTGGGCAGCTCCTTTGAGATCCCAGAGGCAGGAGTGATTGGAGGTCGAGAGTGCACTGGAGCAGGCCTCAGATGGGCCATGCCACGTTGGGGCATAGCAGCTCTGTGTGGTGACCCAGATGTTCCCAAGAAATGCTGTCAGGAGTCCCTATAAAACATTACCCATGTGATAGAACAGTTTTTGACAAGGTCTATGGGACAAATCTGGTTTTTGTACCCAGGGAGAGCTCAGTGGTAGATGAAGAGGTGGCTGCATGGCTTACTTGAGAGCTTCTGGGATAGCACTTGAGGAGGCCCCAGGGGCGGCCAGCACACACTGGCTGAGAAGCGACAGTGCGACACATGGGTAGAGGCATGGGTGGCTTCAGTCAGCATCTGTACCCTTTCCCCTTGGGTTGCATCTCAGCAGACTTTCTGCCCAGATGGTGGTCTTTATAGTCTGGAGAATCCCTCTGTGACGAGTGGTCTGGTGGGTGGAATCAGCAACGGGAGGGTCAAAATGCTTTTGGTGGTGAGCCAGAGAGGAGGATGCAGAGATGCTCAGGGCTGGGACACCTGTCCACTGAATGGCTGTGGACCCTCTAACCCTGTGAGGCAGGGCAGGGTGGCTGCTGATGCTCTGACTGATGCTCAGGCCCGTGCACTCAGCACATGGCTGCGTTTATTGCTGCCCCCTGAGCCAGGTTGCCTGTTGCCGTGTTCCTTTGTCCAGGTCACTGCCTTGTGGTCACTGAGAGCTTTCACTTGCTGGGACTCTTGGTGGGGGGCCTTTGCTCCCCGCTCTTCTCCTGACAGCCTGCACCTTGTGTTTCCATGGCAGGAGTACCTGAGTGCTCTTCACCAGCTTTATGAGGAGTGGCTTATCACAGGAAGCCTTTTCCCTGCGGCCGCCCCTGTTTTGGTAAGTCAGTCTCCCTCACAGGGCAGGAGGCTCTTCCACAAGGAATGACTGGGGGAATGTCAGCCACTTTGTAGATGGGGGAAGGCTCAAGGATTTGGGAGGAGGAAGGTGGAAGGTTAGAAAAGGCTTTCTCTCTCAGTCTGCATTTTTCAATGTGAAGTGACAGACCTGAGAGACCCTCTGTCCCAGTACTTTTATAACTGGTGATTGTAGTAACATGTCACTTACCAGCATTGGCTGCAAAGAAACACCCCAGGTCCTGGGTTTGGACCTTTTGGGATGGTGGTCCCTCTGCTGTGACCTTCCTTCTTTAGTAGATGACATAGAGCTTCAATTTATCATTGCTTGGAGACTTAAGTCATCAGAAGGAACATCAGTTGCTGTTCTGGGCTGTCACATAATGATGCCCTGAGGAGTCTGTGCACCCAGATTACTACCATTTCTGAGCTCCTGTGTTGGCTTTTCATAGTAACCTTCCTTTTCCTTTCCTGACGTGCTATTTCTAACTGACACTGATGTGTCTGCCCCTCAGTGTTTCTCACGGTTCATCCCCTGTGTTCTGATTTTCTGTTCTCGAATGTCTTCAGGCAGCCAACACCTACGAAAGCTGCTCCACATACAGCAAGGAATCATGATCTTTCATGCGTGGCCTTGGACCACGCAGGCACTCACAGCTCTTGCAGGCATCTCCTTTGCTGCTGGCAAAGGAGAGATTATTTTGATGGATTTTTAAAGAAGTTTATGTCTTTCTCCTTTTAAAAAATTGGAATTTATAAAATGATGAGAAGAAAAAAAATTATTCTTGGTCTCACTGTACAGACAACTGTGGTAGATTCTTAGGTGAAAGTCTAGTTCAGAGGGCAGAAAAGCTGGGAATGTTTGACCCTCATCTTCCTTTCCCTCCCCCTGTGACCTTGGCTTCTCTGCCTTTCCCTGCCACCTCCTTCTTCCTGTAAGGGAGGACAATGTCCAGCTCAGTGCAGCCCCCTGACCTCTGTGTTTCATTTCCAGGTGATTGAGGCTGACCACAACATGGAGAAAATGCTAGAACTCTTCGAACAAAATCGGGCCCGGATATTAACTCCAGAGACTTGGAAGCATGGCCCATAGGTGGAAACGTCTGTAGGATCTCGTCAGGAAAAATTCTTACAGTAACCAAGGTAGCCGTTAGGAGCAGTTTGGAAAAATCTACTCTCAGGAGGGCCTTTTATCTGGCCAGATTTATTTTCCTAATGGTCTTTTCTCCCCGGCCAGTGTCTTCATCATGGGTAAATGACAGTGGGACCAGCGGTTTGCTTTTGTCGCCTCACATCTCCCCTGAAGCCCTCAGGACAGCGCTTGCTGTGTGCTGGGCTCTGTACATTCAGACCACCAGGAGAGTGGGGTAGCAGCCTTATATCCAACCAAGGACTCTGACGCTGAGAGGCTAAGGAGCTCCCCAGGATCACGCAGCCAACGTGCAGTAGAGTTGGCGCCATGCAGATTTTTAGCCTAGGCTGCTTTGTCCTAAGACTTATCCCCCAGAATTTACCTTTCCTTGCCACAGACCCTTGCGACGACTTTGTGGGGAGAGCTGGCAGTGAGTGGAGCTGACCTCGTCTTGTTTGACCGTCAGCACTTCTTTACAACATTGCGTTTTTTGACTTGAGCCCAGTGTTTGGTGGTTTCCCAGCATGAGGCTGTGGCCCCTCAATCCCTTTGTCATCTGGACTTCCATGACCACAGAAGAATCACGTGTCATCTCATGATCAGTGCTCAGTCTCCTCTCTGAACCGCTGCCAGTTCCATTTAGGGAAATAGCATTGGGGGCCTGGCCACTTTGCCCTGTTCCAAGCTGGGGCCAGCCCTGGCTTCAAGGCTCCGTCACTCCCTCTTGTCCTTGTTGCCCTGGGAATTACTGACCATCTGTGGTCCAGGGAGAGAGAGAGAAGTGGCCTTAAGTCTTTTTTCTTTCTTTTTTTTTAAATTAGTTATACATGACAGTAGAATGCACTATATACTTTGATGTATCTTACATAGATGGGATATAATTTCTCATTTTGGCCTTAAGTCTTTTTGAAGTGATTTTCCACACAAGGGGACACCTTGGGCCACAGAGCATTAAACCATCTCCATTGGTTCAGAAAACAACTTGGCCCAACTGTGGCCATGCATTGAAGGCTCAGCTGCCTCCTGAACTGAGTGGGAAGCAAGAGGAAGGAAGAACATTCCCTTTGGGGCCAGTCTGGACTGGAAAATCTGGGTTAGTGGACAAAGGCTCCTGACATCTGGGAGGTGGTCAGAGAGCATCGAGGAGACTGAATGCAAACAGGGGAATGATTTTTGGGAACTCAGGAGAAGCACGGCAGCTGTTAGCCTGTGCCCCACCCCCATGATGGACACCTGAGCAAGCCTGTTCGCCTCTCAACAGGTGCCAGGTGCTCCTGGTGGTCCACGCACAGAGTGCCAAGTGGTCAAGGACACCAATGTCTGGCCCTTCCTGTTTGGACCAATTCTTGGGTTTTATCAGCAGGATAAATGACAGCAGCCAAGGTGGGCAGTGTCTATCAGCTCCTGTAGTCTAAATGCTGGTGATTAACCAGGAAACTAGGGAAGGCAGGAACCTTAGCTACCAGGGATCCTGACAGGTTGGGGCCATCTTTGGGAATTTGTAAATGAATAGTCCACTGTTTTCCCTTCAGCTCAATTTGAGCTCCTGTTTTTGGAAGAAATGTGATTTTTCTCTTGCTGTATGGTAACCAATAAATCCTTGACTTAAACCCTGATGTTAATTTTCAAGTGCTTCCTGTGCCAACAACTTCACTTCCTTGTAGGATCCTTTTGCCAGCAGGATGTTTTTATTTTTTAAACACGTTGTTTCCTAATAAAGTGGTATGCATGGATCCAGAAAGATCCTCTTGTGTTCCCCCCACCCCCCACGCCTTGGAGAGGAAGCTGTGTGATCTCTAGAGGGTGCAGCTGGTTACAGAAACCTCCCAGCCTAGAGATCACACCTTAGATGAATGGAGCCAGTGTGCACGAGAGCCGCTGTCTCCTGTGGCAGGCAGGGGTCACAGAGCAGCTATAAACGCCACTACAAGCCAAGGTCGGAAAAGAGCAGATGGCTTACGGCGCAAGGGGGCCTATTTCTTAGTCCTGGGATCCCTGCCTAGACCCTTCTAGGAATAGCTCGAAGGAGCATGGCAAGGACTGTCATCCCTGAAGAGCCAGAGTGAGTAGCCAGGACAGTGACATTCCAGACCTGTTGGGGTCACCCCATTCTTACTCAGGCTAGGGATCCCTGGGATGCTCCAACTCTTGTAAATATTTACTTAAATTAGTGAACAGCATATACATTTTCTTTTATTTTATTTAAAAGTATTTATTTTTTAGTTATAGGTGGACACAATGTCTTTATTTTACTTTATGTGGTGCTGAGGATCAAACCCAGTACCTCACACATGCTAGGCACGTGCTCTACCTCTGAGCCACACCCCAGCCAGCTTATACATCTTCTTCCTGTTATGTTTTTAGTGAAATAGTTCAATTTACATTTAAGCTTTTTGGTCTTAGTGTAAAAGATATAATTAGAACCATTAAATATATTTGGTTCATGTATCATGTGATTAAAAAACAATATATAAATGTTTTTCGCATACACACACACAAGTGTGTAGGCGAGTGATCCAGAGCCAGGTTGGTGGCTTTGTGGTCATCACGGTCCAGGCTCTTCCTTTCTGTTCCTGGTTCTGGGAGGTTCCACTTCCCAGTTCATGGCTTCCCTTCTCCAGGAGTGTAGCTGTTCAAGATGGCTGCTGGGCTCTTCTCTGGCCAGAGATGGCAACATAGCTGGCTTCTCCCCATTCACACAGATAATGACCCTTTTCAAGGGAGAACTAAGATGTCAGGACTTTGCTAGAGGTCTTGGTGTGGGTGGGGGGAAGGTAGAAGGGAAGTCAACACCCGCAGAATGGGTCACATGACCTGGCTTTGTGCCTAGTGCCCTTGGGGCCCAAGTCCCCTCATTCTCACTTCCCTCTTCTGTAATGCCCTTGCCTCCGCCAGCCTCCCATGCTAGGTATAGCTCTGGGAGGAGTGAGACCGCCTTGTCCTTGTTCCTGTGACATGAGTGAGTAAATGTGCTCTGGGAAACGCTATCACCCAGCTTGTTTTCATCTTTCAGTTTATCTTCTGCTTCTTTCTCTTACCTCTGAGCCTTCTCCCTAGATGAGATGATCCCCCTGTCTGGGGAATAGATCCAACAGAAAACTCTTCCTCAGAACTCATCCAGACTATTACCATCAGATCTGGGAAGGACAGTGATATTTGAAATGCAAAGCAGGTAAAAGATGTTGCTAAGCCCCGTCTGCCCTAGAGCATTGGTAAGCCTGGGGCACCTCCGTTTTCCCTGAGCCCTGGGGTGGAGTGTGGGTCCTTACTTAAATGCCTGCGTGTCTGTGGAATGAGTAACATTCATCCCCTTGGCCTGTCCACCCTGAAGAGTGGTCATTAAAACCACTCTTAGTAGTTATTAAAATAATTGATGGGCTCTTGAAAATGTTGCCTGGCTGTCTGCTGTGGCACAGGATTGCTCACTGGAGACCCCATGACTGCTGGCATAGCCCCCTGCCCCCCCAGTAATCCCAACCCCACAGCTCCCCTGAGGCTGGGGTGAATTTTGTGTTCCTCTGGTTTCCATAGATGGGAGCTTGGTCAAGGCTGTCATTAAACAGAAGTGAAGATAAAGCCCATCTCATGGAATCCAGAAGGTGTAGGCATTTACTGCTCTTCACAGAAGCTCTCTTGAATTTCTACGTATCTCGACTCTACTTCTTCAAGACTAGTGCATACCAGACGGGGCTGTTGTGATCACTAGCTCAGTGGTTCTCAAACTTTGGAATATCCCAGTCAAATGAGGGCTCATTAACATGCAGACTGCTGGGTCTCACCTTCACAGTTTCTCATTCAGCTCATCAGGGATGGGCCTGAGAATCTGTTCTCTAGCAACTTTACAGATGACACTGAGCCTGCTGGTCCAGGAACTTCCCCTTTGAGAACCACCTCTCTAGCTTTACACTTTCTTGAATCGGACATCCAGGAATTCAAGGAAACCTTAGCATACCTGCCCTTCACCCTGAACCCTGGTTATCTTACCTGTCAAACAGGAGCATTGCTGCTCAGGGTTGTTGTGAGGCCCTGGACTGGGGCCTGGTGTGCAGCAAGTGAGTTCAGCTCACATGCTGGAACAACTAGGCTGCGAGGCAGTTAATAGACTTGTTAACCACAGTAACTGACATTTCCCATCCTTGCAGCATAGATGCGTACCCTCCCACATCAATCAGGGAACGTCTTGACTGACCTGTTTCTAATCTGGCCCGGCCTGACCAAGCCTAACCTTTGGGGCTGTACCTCTGAAAACGTGCTGCATGACCTTTCTGCAGTTACAGACCCTGGGGCAAGAAACTGACCTTTCTTTTCTTTTGAAAAATATTCCCATTTTCACAGAGACTCTGATCCCAGTACCCAGCATTCTAGAGCATGAGAGGGAGGGCAGGCAGAACTGGCTTCTCAGGCCACAGTAGCCGACACCTTTTGTACTAACGGGACTCTGGGGTTCCTTACACAATAAACTGTTGGTTTTCTAATCTGATGTCACATTTCTTGGCAGACCTTTCTCTCCATGGGTCTCAGTGACCTTACACCCTTCCCTTTCCCTAATTCACAGAGCAAATTTATCTGTATTCAGGGATGGGCAGAACTTGGCAGTTCCAGACTCATTTTAGGAAATGCTTAGAAAAATGAGCAGTGAACAATGAATCTTACTTTTTGAGAGCCCCTTGACTTTGTGGCTGGTGCCTGGGCTTTGGGGTAAGAACAGGAGCTGGGATCCCAGTTTCCCTGGTTATTGGCTCTGAGACCTTGGGAAGGTTACCTTGCCTCACTGGTCCTGTTTCCTCCCCTGGACACTGGAATTCTATTTCTTCCTTTGCCGGGAGTAGGGCTGCACAAACTAGGAAGGAGTGAGTAAAAGGAATAACAGAAATGGTCGCCTGACTCCTTCTAGCCCCTTTCCCTACTTTGTCGTTGGCTGCAGAGGCAACCAGCCTTTCTTACATCTTCACTGGAAAATTGGAGGGGGAAGTTTTTGGTGGAGTACTCCACAGCCAAGGCAATGGATGCTGCAGTTATGTTTTCAAAACATGCTTCTTGTCAGGGTGATGGGGGAAACATCTGCATCCTTACCTGCTATTTACTGAATCCTATGCCACAGGGTGAGCATCATAGCTACCTGCCTCCCTAAAAGCCTGCAGTTTAGCGCCCCCATCTGGTAATAGCTGAGAAAACCTCATATGAAGGCAGGAGGGCACCAGCATCCTCAGTGCCTCCTTCTGGTGAGGTACTGAATTAACTCTGCTATGATAGTATACCCCAGAGTTAATGATCACACTAACCACCCTCCCCCCTGCAAAAAATTTTTTTTTTCGGTGAAAAAAGTTTTTTTTTCAGTGAAGTAGAAGTATATAAAATCAACACACAAAAGCAACAGAGAGGTTATAGTGGTAGATAAACCTATATTTTCAATAGTAATAAAGATGATTAAGTACTTTGGAATAGCTTTATTAAGAAAGATGCAAAATCATACAAGAAGATTACCAGAATTCTCCTGAAAGACCTAAATAAGACTTAAACCTTATCCATTCTTGGATAGGATGACCTAATATAAATACATTAATTCTTCCTAAACTAATTTATAAATTCAATGCAATCTTAACAAAACCACCCCAGACTATTTTATAGAGTTAGACATTTTATACTAAAGTTCATATATAAAAAACAAAACCATGCAGAAATCATGAAACCAATGAAAAGTAAAAACCATAATGTAAAACCTCAGCAATTAGGAACATGGTGCCAGCCTGTGAATAGACAAAAAGATGAGTAGGAGAACCCAGGAATAGAACCCAAGTACAGGCAGAAATTTAGTATATGATAATGGTGGCATTTCAAGTCAATGGGGTTAAGGTGGACTGTAATAAAATGGTGTTGAGATAATGGTAACCATTTGAAAAAAGACAAAAATAGATGCGTACCTCACACCATACCCAGTGGTTAGGAATCCAAAGGTAAAAAATGAAATACATAGAAGCACCTGATGAAAACAACTGATCAAAATACCAGGTTCCTGATAGACAAAATACTCAGGAACCCCTGGAGGAGACGAGGAAGATGAGCAAATGCAGTTCGAGATCTGGAGACGCTCCTGGGGAGAGGAAGGATGTTGATGGAAAACTGGTGAAATCTGAATACGGTTTGTAGTTCAGTGGACAATACTGTTTCAATAATTGATCAATGTTCTTTACCCTTCCACCATGAGATGAGAACTTCAGAGGAAGCAGGGTAGGGGCACATAAAGAATTTGTATGATTTTGCAGCTTGTCCTTAAATCTAAAATATGATAAAATAACTTCTTGAGAAATAAAAGCAGAGCACAACATTATAAATGTGTGTGTGTGTGTGTGTGTGTGTGTGTGTGTGTGTGTGTGTGTATCTTTTCCTAAGACTAGAAGGGATTGTACCAATGCGGTGACATTGGGTATCTTGGGTGGAAAGTGGTAATAACTTTTGCTTTTGTTTTCTTATTCACCTTACCTACTTTCTAAAGTTTTCTTCTCCATTGACGGTTTGTTGCCCCTTAGAAACAGTGGGAAGTGAGACAAGATGAAGTTTATCGTTCATGGAACTTATATTCCAGTGGAGGAAATGAAAATCGAATACATTAAAAATA